TTACTTTGTATCCTTGCATCTATACACTCTTTGGCAATGAGAATGGCGTCCATAATCTCTCCCTTTGATAAAGGCCATTTGTTGAGTGTCTACCAATTTGTGCACAACTTTCTTGAGTCTCTCAGTAAGTAGTTTTGAAATTATTTTATAAATGCTACTTATAAGGGAGATAGGTGTGAAATCTTTCAATTCTTTGGCACCCTTCTTCTTTGGGATCAAAGCTACGTAGGTTGCATTGAAGCTTTTCTCAAAGATTCCTCTATCATAGAAGTTCTGTACAAGAACTATTACATCTATGCTGACCACCTCCCAGCAATAGGCGAAAAAAGCCATGGAGTAGCCATCAGGTCCAGGGGCTTTGTCCCAAGCACATGCTTGGACCCTATTCCATATCTCTTGAGCTTCAAATAGACTCTGCAACATTTGGTTTTCTTCGGCTGTGATTGTGGGACACACTTTGAGGTTGCCTTGCGGCCTCTATTCTTCTGTTTCTGCATACAAGCTTTTATAGTATGTGACAATCTCTCTTTTGATGTCAATTGGGTTCCTCATAGGTTGGCCTTCTACTTCTAGAAAATCAATGTTGTTTTGTCTTCTATGTGCATTGGCTGTTCTATGAAAGAACTTTGTGTTCCTATCCCCATGTTTCAACCATGTTGCCCTGGATCTCTATCTCCATGCCACCTCTTCGTGTCTAGCAATTTCCTCAAACTCCATAGACAAGGTAGCTTTGGTAAGTATTCCATCCTTATTCAGGTCTCTTTGATCTTGAATCTCATCTAGCTCAGACAATTGAGATAGTATGTTGAGTTTCTGCTTGCTCCAATTTCTGAGTTTATCTTTCAAGGCTTTCAACTTGAAAGCCAAGATGTAGTCCAGCCTTCCTTCACAAGTAAATGAGTGCCACTAGTTTTTGATCATGTCTTTGAATCCCTCTGTCTGCAACCACCAATTTTCAAATTTGAAATAGGATTTAGTTGATTCCCAGTTCCCACATTGAAGCAACAATGGGGTGTGATCAGAAGTCACTCTATGAAGAGTTGACTGTTTTATGTTTGTAAAACCATCATCCCAGTCTTCAGAGATCAGAAATCTGTCAAGTCTGGCTGCAGAGTTGTGTCTATCTCCTTTTCTCCAAGTGAATCTGCCTCCTAACAGTTTTAAGTCCACTAAACCCATGTCTCCAATGAATTCAGAGAAATCAGTCATTGCTCTAGTGAATCTGTTGCAATTTTTCTTTTCGGAGGGAAATCTAACTGGATTAAAATTTCCACATACAATCCAGGGGCCATTGAATAATCCCCTAGCTGTGCCAACTTCCCATCAAACCTCTTCTCTTTCTTCTCTATCGTTTGGAGCATAAACACTAGTTAAATGCCAGGTGAAATCCTGGGTTTTCCAGTGAATTTACATGAAATAGAGTACGATCCCAAGCTATTTATTTCACCATCCCAAATCCTACTGTCCCACATAAGCAGAATGCCTCCTCTGGTTCCGCTGGCTTCTAGCTGTGCAAATTTCCCCCATCTGTTTGCCCATAGATCTTTAACATTTCTTGTGATATCACCTTCCAATTTGGATTCTTGAAAGCAATACACATCAGCTTTCCAGGTATTGATACAACTCTTGATCTTTTCCCTCTTCCTTGGCCTGTTGAGCCCTCTTACATTTCATGGTATGACGTTGACTTTCATTGATCTTTGATGATAAGGTAACCTCCCCTGCTTCTGGTGCCATTGCTTTGAAAATTGCTCCCTATATCCAGACTTTTAAGCTCTTTGAAACCCTTAGTTTTTGGAGTTGTTGCCGCCACCAATTCTGCTTCTCCCTTGTTTGCTTGCCTCTTGTGATCAATCTTCATGAATAGCTGCAGAGCCTCCTTCTCACAGCCTTGAAAATCTAATCCAAATTCTTTGCTTAGCTTGACGATGTTTTGGTGAATCCAGATTGGAGTGTCGAAATCTGGGTCCTTCTCATCTTCTCTGCTTTGCATATTCAGTGGTTCTGCCTCTTCAATTGTCCAATTTGCATCTTCACTTGCTTCAATAATCTGCATGTTGTTAGTTGCTTGCAGTTCTGTTGAGGAATTTTCTCTCTTTGGTGACAGACATGGTATCTTCTGCATTGCTTGGGTTAAATTGGGCTTCTGTGCTTCTCTCTTCTTCAGATGTTGTGTTTATGTCCTCCAAGTTTGGCTTTATTTCGTGGGTTGTAGCATGCAGGATAAGTGAAGAAAATGGAGAGATTGCGTCTATTTCTACAGATAGTGGTTCGGGTCTGAGATATGTAGAAATATCTTTTAACAGCTTGGCCTCCAGAAGACTTTGGGCCAAAGGATCTGGGCCCAAAGGTTTTTTAAAATTTTCCTTAGGGCTTGTATTTAAAGGGTCACTTAAGAGTCTTGACTTCTCACGTGACAGCACACACGAGTCTTTTAAAACTATAGACGTAGGTTGTACTTCCTTAGAACAGCCCACGTTCCCTGTCCCATCACTGAGATCTTGAGCCTCTCCCCATGCTGCCATAGATTGCTTTGTTATCTGCTGGTTAAAGACCTCCATGTTGCCACTGCCGGAGCTGAATCTTACCGGTGCTTCACACCATATTTGAATTGTAAAGATGATCCCTTCGCTCTCCACATCAACCACCTTTGGGACTAAATCTCCGTTCCCTTTCACCTTCAGTCTCTCCCATTTGAGGTGATTTCTGAGTTCTGTCTCTTTTTCAGTTTGAACCCAACCTCCACAATAATTGCCGACTTCTTTGAACACTTTCTGGGACCATAGGTGTAGAGGGAGTCCAACTAGTCTGATCCAAACCTGATCAAGGCCCTGGGTTTTTGAGATAGAGCTTGCTATTGGTGACCACCATTGAAGAGAAAATTTGTGCCAGTGCCAGACCCCTTTGAGGACGTGTTCTGCAGTTTTCTTCGACGAGAATTCAAAAAGGAAACGATTTTGACCCATCTCATAGATGTTGACTTCGTGTGCCTGCTTCCATGTGCTGCTAGCCCATCGACAAATATCTAAGAGAGTGGGAATGTCAGAGATTTCCACTGAAAGGCAACCTACCACACTCCTGGAGAGGAGTTCGTTTTGGGAATAGTTGGGTTCACCTGAGATGCTGAACAAAGGCCTCATTCATTTCTCTAGTAGTCCATTTATTTCTCCTGATTGTTTCTGAGTAGGTAAGATGATCTTCTGTATTTCTGGATGTAAATATAACTGCCTTCTGGGCCTTGCATTTAATGAAATTTGAGATCTTAACTGCAATGTCTGTCCAACCTGTATTAAATGCCATTTCTGGGTAAATAATTGTTGATCTTCTTTTGTTTTTAGCCTTCCCTTGCAAGCTAATGATACTAATATATCGTCCATGCTTGTTGTAGTTCCTCGAGCAAAAGAATTCTGTAAAGTGGTCTTGAAACTTCCATCTTCTAACTGGGTTTCCCTTCACTTTTGATGCCTTCACTAATGGCATAGCATAGCCACTCCATCGTCTTTTGACTGAAAAATGTTCTTCTGATCAAGTTGTGCCCTCGCTCTGTCCAATTATACCAAGTCTTTGCTCTTGATTCATCCCTTGCAATGTCATAAGATTTAAAACCCACCCTAAAATAGATTGTGTTATCATCCATCATAACTGAAAGGAAGTGTCTGCTATAGTAGCCGGAAAAACTTTCGGGAACAAATGGCCGGATAAAAACTTCCCGTCGCTAGAGAAAAGTAAAGGTGATCGGAATCTAGAACTGCCAAGATGGGTTGGGTCGGAATAGGGTGCTGAAGATGCTGTCCTGAAGAAAAAAGTTGAAAAGATGCCCGGAGCAGTCTCACGTGCCGGCGCGTGGTGGAGTGCTCGCCGGCGCTTGGCGGCGCGTGGGAGATCTGATGGCGGAGCTGTCTGCAGGGGTTGACTCGCGTCAGTAGTGGCTCTCCGATGATGTTTGTATGAACTCAAAATTCCAAGTTCTCAGGCTCCTCGGGGAGTGTGCCTGAGAGCAAAGTTAAAGGCAGACCAATCAACTTTTCGCAGCAGCCAAAGATAGCTTTTATCTTCTTCTTATATTTCTTATTATGAAAATTATGATTATAATGTCCGAGGAACTCCTGAACCACTAAAATTCACTAGACTGACTCACCTATGGTTCCAAAATTGCAACAATTTTATTCCAAAATAAGAGAACTCAAATTCAATTGTACTACAGAAACCAAATTTGATGCTAAGAACTAGGAAATTCACTGAAGCGCGTAGATAGTCAATGTAAAAAGTTAATATGTACTGTGCACGGAAAACAACACAACCAAATAGTACAACAAGCCAAGAAACCCAATTTAAAATCAATACAAAATATAAAGAGATGAAATGATAATGATAACTACAAGAAACTCACATAATACACATTCCAGTTGTCTACAGAGAACAAGAGAAACAATATAAATAACAAGTAAGTTTAGAAAAGAAAAGTAAATGAACAAACCCCACAAGACTAATATTTTTGGGTGGAAAAGATAAGTAGCCGAAAAATTCTTCTGGCAATTCTAGAATTAGAGAAGAGGAATCTCAGCTACCGGGTGTTAAACATCAAATAACCAAGAAAATAACTATTTCGAACTTACTTTTTTCCAAGGAGAAGATAAAACTCATTGGAAAGAAGTAAAGAGATTGGATGTGGAGTTTTATTATTAAATTCAGGTTTTGGTCTTTTAGGTAGGTTGGATATTAAGAGATGGGTGGGTCATATAATTTGATATGTGGTTAACGGAGGGCATTTTTTACCAAATTCAATAGATTAGGGGAAGTTTGGGTCTTTTCTGGTTTTGTTTTAAATTGTCCCTTAGTTTTTAGGGCATTTTGGGGCCAAAAGATAACAACAAGGTCATTTTGGCTCAATAGATGGATGGAGGACATTTTAATACCACATTCAATAGGTCTGGGGCAGTTTTGGCCTTTTTCCATTTTTTATTTGTGATCTACTTTAGCTGGATGGACCAAGGTAATGAAAGAAGTTCAAGTGTTTCCCCTTTGTTGGCTTATTGGTCTTACATATCTTCTCGGGCTCTCATACTCTTGTTGATATTTGAACTTTTAATTTTTCTGCTGTCAAAATGAACAGAGCTGCTATTGACTATGAAAAAAAGATGCATGCCAGTAACCTTGAATATAATCAAGCTATGGAGAAGCATAAGATTACTGTGACTGCTGAAATTGAAAGCCTACATGCTGAGCTTGCAAATGCAGAGAAGAGGGCAAGAGCAGCAGCCGCAGCTGCTGCAGCAGCTGCTCCAAGTAATTCACACCATCAGTTTGCTGCAGCGAATCCAAGTAAGTCAAACCACCAGTTTCACCTGGTGGAAAACAAACCCACCAGTTTCCACCTGCTGTAGAGCTTATCATTATTATCTACTTCATAGTACACTCAGCTAATTAAGATAGAATTTTGGATTTATCCTTCCAGGTTTTACGTATTCTGCCAATTATGGAAATCCTGAAACAGGTTATGGAGGGACTTTGTACCCTGCTCCTTATGCTGTACATCAGGTTTGTAATTGCATATGTATTACATTTTCAAATGGTTATACGTTCTCTTGACTTTTGGTTTTTATAATTTCTGTAACAATTTAGCATAAAGAAATTAAAAAAAAATTCTATCAGGGTGGCAAATGAGATGGAATGTTACATGTGATGATCTCTTAAGTATTTGTTGTTTGCATATTGTTGATCGATCCTTCTTGTCCTTTAATGTTTCAAACAGTTTAAATTCATGTTGTCATGCAAACTTCCTCTTTGTCCTTTGCCTGGCAGTGAGCTAAATTAGCATAGGCAGAATAAGTGAATTTCCCTTCTTGTTCACTTTTAAACTCTATGCTTTTTCCATCTGGATTCAATGATATCCTCCTTCCTCTCTCATTTTTCATTTTTTATTTTATTCTATTGGGCTGTCAAGATATGATAGGCTAGCTTATATGCTTCCTGGTAGATGAAAGCGGAAGTCAAGATGGCGATGCTGGGGATGATTCTGGGGGAATGCTAGGAAACTTTTCCAAGTTCTAATACAAGAATGCACTTTGGAAAAAAAAAAACAATTTCTTTTATCATCAAAAAGCAAAGCGCAAGGATTCTTTATATATTGCTCCTATATAGTATTGTTTGCCTTTTATTTTTTTCCGCTTCTTGTCCTTTTTCTTCATATCACTAGTTTGCATCAGGAAGTTAGATCATCCTTTATCTAGAAAAACTCAGTTAATTAGATCATCATAAAAGATTTTACGTGAGGAAAGTTTTCATGATTCTTATTGACTCGTGATAGTTGCTTTGAGAAAAATAAAAAATAAAAAAGAAATCATTGCCTGTTCTCATCATATCCTGTGGACTTCCATGTTTATAATGATATCATGCTTACCTTTCGCACTCAGGAGAAGCGAAAATTGGTAGAGAATTTCCTAATTTAAGGCTACTAGATGTGGGTTGGGATCCCATCCAGTAAAGTTTGCTCCAGTATTCTGCAATATGGTGCTAATTTTTTGACACGTGTCCTCCTAACTAATCAATGGACAAGATCTCTTTAATTAAAAAACTAGTTTAACCATGGTTAGATTTCTCTTCTGCTTGAAACAGAGATTTGTTATCTCTGTTGCTCTTCTTCTGCTTGCCCTACTTTAATCGCCAGAAACCCTTTCAGGACATCGTTCTTCGCATGTGTTGTGTTTAGATGTTACTAGAATGAAGTTTGAATACCTGAGGCTGTCAAGGATGTGCTGTTTTTTGTATGAATGCTTTGTAAATATTACTTGGTAAATAGAATTCTTTTAATTACCCAAAAATAAAAGGCTAAGTTAATTGCACACCTTCCAAATCGTCTTTTTTTGGAATCTAGAAGGATAATTATATTACTTAAATAATTTTAATTTGGAAGCAAATTGTTGTGGGATTATATTGGGTGGTTGTTGTTGTTGTTGTTGTTGGAAGCAAATTCTTATTATAGATGCACTCTCCTGTGTTGCCAATAGAATTGTCTAATAACATGTCTTTCATTCTTATTTCCGAGTCGACTCTCCATGGAACCACATTTAGCAATTGATTTCATTGGAGACTCTACAATCTACATTTTGATCTGCACCACCTTTGAGGAAGACATTTCTGATTTTAGTTGATGTTGATTTTCTATTTATAATTCTGTTAAACAAATACTAATTGTAAAAACCAACAAAGGAAAAAAAGAAGTTTCTTTCTTCGATGAGAGGGCCACAGAAAAAGGAAGAAGGCGAAGGATTTACAAGGATGGGTTGTTTGAAAAGGGTTAAAAACGTGAGAAAGGAGAAACAGAACCATGGTAAACCTAGTTTTTTAGTTAAAGAGATCTTGTCCATTAATTAGTGAAGAGGAAACATGTCAAAAAATTAGCACCCTATTGATAAATACTCTAGCAGACTTTACTGGATGGGATCTTAATCCACTAGATGGAACTATTATTTAGTTGGTTCCACCTTTTTGATCCAAGGCACTTCCCTTGCTAACCTACAAAGAGGACAAAGTAGCACATGCAAGTTGCCATGTAATTGCAACTTAAGCTTTGCGAAAACTTTAAATGAGCTATAATACCACTGTCCTATTTGTAATAACCCTGTAATGTTTCAGGTTCAAGTCAGTGCTGATGCAACCAAATATGGTCAAGGAGCCATGTCTTATGGTTCACACGGTCCTTATGACATGACGCAACCCTATGTACATCAGTAGTTTGTGATTGGAAACTGAAAAGCATCTGCTGGATCACAAGCAAAGGTAAATGTGTCAATTTTGTTGGATTTCACGACCATCAATGGTGAAAGCCTCAAGAGTGGATTTGGCGAAGCACAGGTCAAATGACTCTAGGTGGGTGAACGCTAAACAGGTTGAAAGTTAATTGTGTTGATGAAAAAGCAGTATCCCTTGATTGCAGGCACAGAATGCAGACAATTAGAGTTGTGATTCATACTGCAAATCGGTTCGCCCTATTCTAGCTTAGTGAACTAGCCAACTCTGGGTTCTAAAACCTACTTAGTCCTCCAAGATAATTTCATTATTATGATCTCTGGGGAGACCTGGATAGCAAATTTAGAATTAACCGACACCTGTAAAGCATGTTCATCAAATTTTCTTTTTGCAAGATTCAGTTTTAGTGGTGAATGCCACTTTGTGTCACCGCTGATGATGACAGGACCAGTGAAAATAAGTTTGACGATTGGAGACAGAAACATGTAAGTAGGGGTGTTCATGGTCCGGTTTGGATCGATTTTTCCTTAAAAGGAAATCAAATCAAATAAGTCGGTTTTTCAAATATTAGAACCAAATCAAACCAATTAAGGCAATTTTTTATCGCTTCGGTTTATATCGTGTTTTGTTGGTTGGTTATTTATCGATTTTTTCTTAAATATAAGACATACACTATCAAACACATATTCCGACGACTACATTTTCAACGTAACATTATCAAATCAGTTGCCCTTTGAGAAATCTATCATTTACCAAGATATATTGATAATAATTGAATCAAATAGAGATGAATAATATAGGGATTCAATTAAAAATAGATTATTTGTAACATAAAGGATTCTTATAGTTAACAAAAGAAAATTACCAATCAAATTAGAATGTAAAGGCAGAGAACTGTACTAAAAGTGGAAACGATTAACATGTACCATACAATTTTAGAAACTTTGTACACGTGTGTGTGTGTGTGTATATATATATATATATATATATATAATAAATTTGAAATAGTTACTTCTATAGTCAGTTTGGTTCGGTCTTTTTTGGGTATTTTTTTTATTAAAACCATAATCAAATCAAATTTGATTGGTTTTAAAAATTCAAAACCAAAACCAAATTAAACAAAATAAAAAAGTATCGGTTTTTTTGATCGATTTGATTTGGTTCAATTTTTCGTTATGAACACCCCCTAAGGTGGCTCTTTGTTTCAAGCAATGTGGGGAAAAAGAATCAGTTTTCACCTCTGGAGCTGCTTTTCAAATTTTCACCAACTTTGGAACAAATGCCAACCAACTCGTTAGGACAAGTTTGGTGACCGTGCTTGCATGTGTATATGTATTATCAACTTAATTTTATTTTGGTTTAACTTCTCGTTACGAATTGCGAAATATTGTTAGTGTTTCCAAAGTTAAAACTAGTTAATGTGGTATATGGGCACATTGAACTGAGTTTAATTCAGATTCAAGGGCTTAGGAAGGAAAGACACTCCCTAGATTGCATGGATGTAGCCTGTTGGCAAAGGTTAGACGCGGATAAGAGTCAGGCGCTCGAATGAGTGATTGAGTTGGAAGTCAAGATCGGGTAATTAACGATTTCCTTAATAATGTAGCAGGAATGCATGAGCACGTCAACAAGATGTCACATTATAAAGCATGGACGCCACCTAACAATATCTCCACCATTATTGCTTCTTCAAAAGTGATCTCCTCGATATCAATTGGCAACCCATTATTACAACTGAAATGGTTGCATGAATACTCGTGACCTCTGAGAAAAGGAATAGCGCCGATTGCATGGCCATGGAGGCTGTCCAAACTAGCCAATCAGAGAATGTTCCTTGGTAAATCTAGATGCATATATAAGGGGTGTCGTCTTACTGCGTGTATATAGACAAACATCATTTGGTTAAACTGATAGCATGTAACAACGGAGGAGATCTATATAACCTAACTAATTAATCAACTTAGAGGAGAGAGATTTATATTACCTAATTAATCATTTTATATTACCTTATTAATCAACAGAGAGGAGACAGAGGAAATAAAGACAAAAGGAAGAACATATAATAGAATGGAATATAATAGAGAATGTGTGGTACACGCTAAGCGCATATATCAACGAAGGCGGATCTAGGATTTTAAGATCATGGGTGCATCACCGGCTTTAACATAAATTTGGCACTTCTAAATAGTGTCAATTTTTTTGGTCAATAATGTCAACTGATGTGAAAACATTTAGTATTTTATGACTTATTATCAGTATTAACTATTATTCAAAGAGATAACGTATACATTTGTTAAACCATTCAGTTCTTACCATCAAAATTCAAAATAAAGAGGAAAAATAAAATGTTAATGGCAATTTAATACCGTAAAATTTGAAACTTGTGCAAATGTGCAATAAGAAGCACAAAAAATATCAAAAAATCTTAACATATGACTAATTCTTTATATGTGAATTACTTACAAAAATAAACTATATGTTTGTAATAAAAAATTACGGACCAAAGTTCAATAATTTTAGTTGAAACAAAAATATTTAAGCAAGTCATTGCGTAATTTAATGTTCAGTTAATAATTTGAAAACCACAACTAAAATATTCCTTACGAAACTATGCTAACAATTCAAAATTCTTTGAGGTAAAAACAATTATAAACTAAAAATCAAAAAGGGTAAAGGGATCGATCCCTAGATCTGGGGAAATAAAACAAGTATCCAGCCAATACACCACTTAAGCTTTATACAGCATAGGTTCCTAAAGATAATATTAGATCATATCTGTGAATTATGTACATGGAAAAATTGATTTGCCGGAAAGACCATGGGTTTACGTGAACCCCAAATTATAGAGTAGATCCGCCCCTGTATAACACTAGATTATAACATAGACCACATTACATGACAGAGTAATTACTCACACACAGAAAATCATCATTTCATATATACCTTTAATCAATATTCAGGATTTTGGGTTGGTGAATGCTTAGCTCTTTCGACGTTTTTACAACTAACCGCATGTATAAGTGTAAAACTAATTGAACACGGCGATGAAAAAACTTAATGAGAAAATTCATATTAATGTTATCGACGCCGTGAATCTACGATGAAAAACACAATTGGCGAGGTAAATTTTCGTCTTCAGTAAGGATGAACTTTGGAGTTTTTTTTTTTTTTTTTTTTTTTTTTTTTTTTTTTATAGAAAATTAGGCAAAATAAAAAATAAAAAAAATTAAAACAAAATTCAGCGAAAAGAAGTCTAAAACAAAAATAAAAAAGAGTAGTATTGGGTAAAAAGAGGTGGCTACTAGAAAGAATAAAAAAGATGACCTAGCTAATTTAGAGCATTATGATTTTTTTAATAGTGAAACCCATATTTTAATTGGTGTGTTTTACGGTAGGCGTGGTGATTCTCAACTCATTATTCCATTTACAGCAACAGTGAACTACAAATACATCCACAATCTTAAGAGTTTTGCAGGAAGAGTTCTATTGAGTAATGAAAAGTTGTTGCTTAGTTATGAAATAACGACTAATGATAGATATTCTCCTTCTCTACAATAAATTGCTCCTGAAAGGTCCCCATCATCAGTTTGGTGGGTATATATATCGATAGAGAGAGCTTTAAATTTGGAAGACCCTCAAGTTGTATACCCTCTCCACAAATAAGGAACTGGTTCTCAACTATAAAAGAACCAGAAACACGAATTGCTACTCCATCTTGACCATGATCAGTACGATATTGGAGTTTCTCCACAACGTAACATGCAAAAGCTTTTCGATGTGGAGGCTATTCATCAGCTTATGTCTTCCATGTATTGGACAAGGTTAAAAATATGATGTTGGGACCATAGGTTCTTTCCCGCCAAAGCTAAAAGTGGAGCATACTATTAAATGGAAGCCTCAAGATGCAAGAATCAAGAGGAATCAGAGAAGGATAGAGAGATATCTTCATTGTATTAGAAATGAGTTGTTTATATACAGTTGTCCATAATAGCTAATTATTCTAACTGCTCTATACAAGTAACTAACTGCACTAATGGATTACCACGTCATCAACGCTGAGGTTGTGTCTTCCGAAATGACAATCGATCTCTATGCGCTTGCTTCTCTCGTCATATATAGGGTTTGTTGCAATTTGAATTGCAGCTTTACTATCACAAAACAATTTCACTGGCCACTCCAAATTAATGTTCAGTTTATTGAATAACCCAACCAATTACCATACAACTTGTATAACAACATTGTCCATGATCATATACTTTGCTTCTGTGGAACTTCTTAAAATTGTATTCTGC